GTGCTTTCTCCAATGGAGTCACTCCTACACGCGTCTTCGTCTCTGTTGTCTCTCAGACCCAGAATCGACGGTCGTGATTCCTTCATCAACCCATCACGTGTTTTTCTCAGTCCTAGTCTCGGCCGCAGAGAATCTAAATCTCTTCCTCTGGTCGCGACGGCGAAGAAGAAGAAAAGCAAGAAAGATGATAATCATGGCTTTTCCGTTAGATCTGACGAAGCCACTGGTCCATTTCCTGAATCCATTCTTCTCAAAGAGGTTCTACTTTCCTTCAATCGCTGATTTTGATTTTGTAAAAAAAATTGTTCTTACCGATTTGTACAAATTTGAACTAAGAATCGAAGAATATATGGAAATTGATGTATTAGACTTTCTCTCTGTAGTAATGATTATTATCATTCTCCATTTCTGGTCCAACATTGAGATGCTGAAGTTGTGTAATTGTTTATTTGTATGGATTCGATTTTGCAGAAGAAGGTCGATGCAGAAGGTGATCTTCTTCCTGAGTTTGCTGATGCTGAAGAAAGTAAGTGATTGTGTTTTTAATCTATCTGCGCGTTGCTTTTGGTTACCTCCAAGATTTGGTCTTTAGAATTGTTTCTTTCTTCTTATTTGTACAGAGGAGCTATATGAGTTTCTGGATCTTCAGCTTCAGAGTGACTTGAATGAGGAAAGGAGTAAGTTCTTCTTCTTTAAACCGTTTTTGTTTCCTCTTTATGTTACAACCCGGCGAAATGTGCTTATGCTTTATCTGGAAGCTGATTCTCTGGTTCTTGTTAGCTAGCATTACCCTTGTTCTTTCTCCCTTCTATATATAAGATGGTTTGTTAAAATCTCAACTTCCTCATGAAGAAATGGTGATAAAATAAGATACAGGATATGGCAATTTAGACTTTTGGAGAGGAATTTGGAAGTATGCATATTGTTTTCATTAGATGGTCTGGAGCTTACCTTAGAATATGATCAAGCCGTGATACTTTATTAGTTAGTAGTCAGATAGAGAGAAATTCATAGATTCTGTAACCCGTTTTATACCACTCCATTTTACCTATGTTTCTGCAGTGAGGCACTATGAGGTGGTTTACTTGATTCATGAAAAACATGCTGAGGAGGTCGAAAGTGTCAATGAAAAAGTGCAAGGTGACATTTGTTTCCCCCTTCTCATGCTCTTTTGTTCCTATATGCACCACCCACCAGATGTCATGCAGGACTGAAGAATAGAATTCCGAATCTAATCTATACCGGTGTTTTTAGTTATAGCGGTGGTGAAACTTGTATGTAATTGTGTTTGTTGGTATTCAGAATTCCTGAAGGAGAAGAAAGGGAAAGTGTGGAGGTTTAGTGACTGGGGAATGCGTAGACTGGCATATAAAATACAGAAGGCGGAGAATGCGCACTATATACTGATGAACTTTGAGATAGAAGCGAAATACTTGAACGAGTTCAAGGGATTGTTAGATAGTGATGAAAGGGTGATTAGGCATCTCGTGATGAAACGGGATGAGGCCATTACAGAAGACTGCCCTCCACCTCCCGAGTTTCACTCTGTTCGAGCAAGTATG